TCAGGGGGAGGTGCCGCTCGGATTGAAAACTGATGTATCCGAAGCATGCGGTGCGCCTGGGGGGGCAGTCGCGTCGTGCGACAGGGGAAAGCAAATTGAAAACGAAGCATATTTATTTTTATTTGTTGATATGGTGATATCGCCCGTGAAACGACGCCGAAGGGGCAAGAGAATAGTGAGTTCTCTCTGAAAATACACATAAAAACGTTTAATGAGTCCAGTGCGGCGTGCATGCACAAGTCAAACAATACTAGAATAACGCCCGCGTATGGCAATGCGGTGGAGCCAGTCAGAAGAAACAGTGTTGAAAAATCAGGAATAAACCACCGCGGGACAAAGTTCGAGCGTGAAGCAGGCAATCGGGAACTCGAATGAGGCCAATGAACCCGATTCCAGGCTGATCGGGATTATCGCCCTCGCGGCTTCATTCGATGGCATGGTAAAGCTCAACTCTTGACGAGGAGGGCTTCGATAAAAACTCGGGAGCCGGTCACTTCTGGCGTCGAGCCTTCTGCCGACCAATTCGCTGGTCTTGAAAAGACGCAAGATTCAAAGTGAGAAACTCGCTAACACGAGCATATTCTTGAATGACTCGGGACTCGGGAGCCGTCTTTCCCGAGCCTCACTGAGTGGTTGTATTTATTTGCTTAGTCCAACATCAGGGCGACTGCGGCAGAGTGATGTGGCTTCCCGAGATCTCAGCTTCACTCAGTGCTGCGTGAAGCAACATTCAAAACGTCCCTTTTTACGCATTTCTTCCAGGAGCTAATCGAGCTTTGCATTCATGATAAACGACTGGGAGGCGCATTGATATTTTTACCGCACACTCTGAGCTGTTCGAATTCGTTCCGCTCGGCCCGTTTTCCATTCGGACGCCCCAAGTTAAGAATATCGCGCGATTCCCAGGAGTACGCTCGGACCCCAGGCACAATGATGAGGATCATTCTCGGAAATCCCCCGATGACGGAAGGAGGTAGAAGCTAGAAATCAATGATCGCATATTCGGGGGATTGAGAACAGGGAGGACGGGGTTGGACGCATACGCCATATCGAGGGCGGGTATATCTATACGCAGCTCGGAAAGCGGGCTTCCGAAGTAAGAGCTCGGCGACGCCAACCTTTTGAAATGCGGGGAACCCTCTCCGAGAGTATCTTTTTCGACGGTGGAAGTTTGTATCGTTCGGAACGTTCGGTAACAGATTCTCGGCTGAATGCCGGTGCGCGAATAGCATTGCGTCGGTGCGGGGTTCTATGCCGATGACACGATCTCCTTGCGAGTGAATGGATGCTGTTATCATTCGGAGGCGCTTCGGATAGCTCCCGCTTACCCGTATTCTAGCCGAGAAGGCAGGGAAACTTCCCTCGGGAGCCAGACCAACAAATCAGGGCTTTTCAAGATTAGAAAACGACGACGAAACAGGAACACATGGAGAGAGAGCCCTACACAGCCAAGCTATCCAATACCCGTATCCCCGACACGCCATTGACTGTCCTCAAGCGATACGGGTCTTGGTTTTGCTGTCGTTTGGCTTGAGCACGGAGACTTTGTCAGCTGAAGGCGTCGGTGGAGGGAGGGCGAGCTCCGTGAGATGTCGGACTGTCGATGACGTTCTTCAGACCCGTTTGAATATTTTTTCCAGGTGATGCCCCCAATGCCGTTCCGGCTTGGCAATTTCCTGCGGAGTCCATATTATGTATACTCCGGCCCTCGCCCGAGGAGAATGGATGCCAGAGGCTCCCGAAGCGAAGCTCTCCGCTTCTGCGACAGACCGAGACGACCGCATCGATGCTCAGGGGACTTCAGGATACATCCTGAGCTGTACGGGATACTCCATGGATCCAAGACGGATGAACGTTGATTCCAAAGCCTCTCCGACGAGCAATCATGAACTTTCTCAATTCTCGGCTCGTGGAAACCCCGTTCGCCTGTTGATGATTCCTCGTTCGGGTGCTCATGCGGACGTGCTGCGTTGTCGGGGACACGCATCTGAGTTCTCATTCTTCCGTCGGCAGAGAGGGCGCTAGGCGACACCGTCGTGGCTCGTGAGTCGTGATTCACGATGCGAGACCGGGATTATCGAGAAGCGTGGAGAATATCTGTGACGAAAGATATTGTCTCAGGAGTCTAGCCCCCGTCAGAACGAGCTGTCATAATTCGGGACGATTACGGCGAGGTCTGTTTCTTTTCTCGTATGTTGCTCCGCGGGAAGATCTCTCATCCCATCGCCTTGCGTCCGTATCCAGAAACTCGCAGATCACGTCGAGTCAACGGACGAATCGAGATTGCATGATATAGTCTCTTTCTAGGGAGGGCTCAGAGAGGTATTTTGCTGTTTTCAGGATCTGGAGCGGAGATGCGCAGGCTCCGAGATGAGGAGTATCATATCTCCCGTTTTCTTGGAAGAGATGTCTACGGACGGCGAGTTTTGCGATGCAGTCTTCTTGTATGATTTAATCCAGTCGGAAAATATTTCAGTGGGCAGAACCGTATTGGCAATTGGCACCGAGCTGGGAGGACGGTGAGGAGCAAGAATCAATTATTCAGAGCTGAAGCATGGACCATTCGCGGTCCGGGCGGCGTCTCTTCAGCTCGCTCCCCTCTGGGCTGAGATACTCAGGCATGATTCCGAGACGATTCGGAACCATCGGGTCTATGAGGTATCTCCGGTGAGCTAGCTCTGATTCCTGACGTTACAGGACTCTAGCGATGAGGGCCTCAGAGTCTTCCTCGCTGAAGATACCGGCCCGGACCTGATGATCGAGGAGGTGCTCCTGCCGATAGTTCCTCGTGAACTCCGGATCAGTTTCAGGAGGATAGTCGATACCTGGGGAGGAGCGCAGTCCTTTGCTCTCGGGGGCTCCGGGAAAATATTCTGCGGTTCCTGCTGCAAGTGACACGAGCGAAGTTGCTTTGAAATGCGACGATTGCGAGCTTGAATTCTCAGTTCCCCGTAAACGCCGTCTGCGGGCGATTAATCGTTGACTGAAAGTGAGATGGGCGGAAGCGTCGGTGTCGTCTCCGATCTCTTCCGCCTACTGAGCTTCGTGGATCTTCTCCTTTCGACTCGGAGCTTGGCGTGGAACGGATTTCGCCTCCATTTGCTGCTCTCTTGGCGAATGGAGTGAGTGCCCATGACCTGCAGCTGCTGCTCACTTCTGTGGCACTTCCGGCTTTCCGCTTATAATTCGTCCAACGAAGCCAACAAGTGCCACGGTTTCTACTGTTCGAATGCCGAATCGGTCGATCGGGACCGGCAGCTCGGGTGATATCGATTGCGTGGAGTACTGAAATGATGAATCGCGATATTTCCTCCGCTGCGCTCGTCATCGTTGCTCTAGAACGATGCCGGGTCATCTGCCCTTTGATCATCGTAGTGGTAGGCGAGGTCTACGACACACGTGACGTGGGCGTAGCTGATCATCTCTCAGATAATTTGCCGAAGCTTGTCTGACGTCCAAACATAGAGGGATCGATTGATCCTCTCTATTGTTTCGACCGCTTTCAAGTCATTGCACATATCATCTGCTCAATATCGCTGCGCTTGCCGCTGAAGTGGGTACCCGTCTTGCTGCGCGGGAACAAGCCGTCGGCGTCGCTTCCCGGTGCCGTCTTGAGGTACGCGACTTCATTTGTTCAATCTCGACAAAGAATTGAGCCGCGTGTAAAAGTTTCCTTCCGGCGGTGGATTTCCCGCATCCACCCGAACTTTCTCAGACTTTCCCGATGAATCAGAATTGAATCTCCGTTCCCCGGTGATTCTTCTGGTCACGCGTGAATCACCGAGAGCTCTCGAAGTGTGAGTCCAGCCAAGCTTCTCAGCCCTTCAGAGTTGTTCGACCAAGGACCTCTCTTTTTTCTGTGAAGCGATCTATCATCTCACTGCTCGCGATATTGCAATTGTTTCGATCTCTTTGGCGAAAGGGTGCATGTTGCCTAGCTACGTGATCGTCCGATTCCTCGCCACGCTGATTCCCAGACGTCGAAGTCTACATGAGTCGTATCTGATTTGCGCAAGCTCTTACGTAAGCGCTCCAGACGGTTTCCGCATTAATCATGCCCACGTGTATGCACTTGAATGCTCTGAATACGGACCAATGATCATTGTTGCTCCTTCGAGGAATCCGTCCTGGAGACAACTTCAGAAGCTCTCGTCCTTCATGATGAAATACTACGACGATGCTCGCGGAGTAATCCCATTGGGGCTTCTCAAGAGCCTCACATGTACATTTCATATATTGAATAAGCATGCATACCCCGGATGATGTTTCTCTTTTTTGGTACGACTGGCTCCACTGAGTCTAGTCCTTTGGGCTATCTTGCGTGATTCCTCTTTATCTCCGTCCGCGGGGCCCGGCCTGGTCTCGGCCTCGGACTGCGTGCATCAAGCGATCAACGTTGAGCACTAGTGTTGCAGATCCCCAGCGGCGATTCCTTCCGGAGATTCGTTTCGGAGAGACCTGCCTGAGATCTCTGCCGGGATACCCGATAATTACTCGGCTGCACACACCCCGAGCAGACTATCGCTCCGAACGCCAACAAGCGAGCGTTTACGTCTGTGAATCCCCATCAGCCAGCACTCATTCGCGAGCTAGAAAAGAACTCGACAGTTCAAGTCGAAGTTCCGCGCGGCGACGTTCCATCTAAATTCGCGTGCATGCATCTCAATCCCCGAGGTATCATCCGTTGCCCCGTGTTCCTGCACAGCGCCGCGACGGCCGTGCGAATCTGTCGCTATTCTGGAGAGGGGACGGGAGCAGGGGGCGGGGAAACACTCGTTTTCCCCCTTGTCATGAGAAAGCACGCACTCAATCTCCCATTCGTATCTCACTGACTCGCTCGCTCCGTGGAGCGCACCTGACGCGCAGATCGATCGTCGTCCCATTCGCAGGAAGGAAATATCGCGCCAGATACGATCGCGAGTCGGAGAAGAGAAACTACCACACGCTTCGGGATAAAAGCACGGCGAAGGAGAACGCAGAAAGACTTCCTTATGCATAACAAACGTTTATTTTGATGCTTGACGGGGATATATTTTTCTCAGATCCGGAAGAACAGTTTCAAAAATTAATTATCCGCGAGGAATCTCTCAGTTCCAGTTTCTGCTGAATGGAAAGTCCACAACGTAGGTAATTCGATTCAGCAGTTAGTTGTATTTACAAGCTGTCTGTTCGCCGTTCCGTCGTTCCCGTCAACATCGGCCTCGTTATCGACCTCTCGTCTTCGTCTTTACCGCCAGAGTTCAGACAACGTTGTGATCATTCGCTTGCTCGGGACAGAAACTATGAGTTGTTGGAATGTTTTGTACAAAGATATATTTTACAATTGGAGGGAGAACTCTCTTCGACTCGAGCCCGCCACGACCGGCCGACGATGTCACCTCGCTCGTCGTTTCGGTCGCCTACGCCGTCCGGGAATCGAATCAAAGCCTCATCCTCCTCCCACGCTAGAGACAAATACATAGTAACAGATGTAAGAAACATTTACATTGGGTTGAGGCGGAATCGAGGAATTCACAGAGCTCCTGTGGGTCATCATCAGACCCGGAGCGAGTCTGTCGGCAGCGACATGTTCCCTCGTCTAGTATCATTTTCCGTATAAATCTTAATAATCTCTCAGTTGTTGTCCTTCGTACATATGTCGTTCGCCCAGTGGCATCCCTCATCAATTCACAGATGTTGTCGCAGGCCGCATGGATCCCCTAGTCACAGTTCGGCGAAAGTCTCCCACTAAAACCAGAGAGACTCTCCTCTAAACAGATGACTCGATGCCTGTCGTCGATTCGAGAGCCATACTCGGTTCTATGTCGCCTACGATTGGGTAGGCGGAATGGTCCTCGGCTGCCAGGAGGTGCCCCCCAGGAACAGGTCGCAACGTACGATGGAAATCGATCCGAGCGTATTCCGTCGGTACACCTCCATTGCTTTTCCGCTGTATACTGCCTGTAGATGAACGTCCCAGCGCTGCTCTATCGGCTGGCGTCAGCATGACATTCGTCGCGAGGACTAGCTCCTTGTAGCTCGAATCTCCGTTCAGCGGCACGACCGAAGGACCCACGATCATATCCAGCGCCTGAAATCGTGAAGGCTCCCGTTGTTGAAACCAATTAAAAACCTGGAGGGACACTGTGACTGGAGAGACCTCGGGTCATGGGAATTCCCTCGTGCGAGTCCCGAGCTCGGGTATGCGCGATCAGAGCTCGGAAATTCTCGCGCGACCCCAGGAGGATCCCGACCACTATGACTGCGAGAGTCGTCATATCCTCATATTCGCAGTGTTCGAGAGAGCGGAAACGTTCCGCGGGTCGACGACCGTCGTCACAGCAAAAAAAACGAAAGCGCCTATCGCGAGCCTTACTTTTGCCGAATGCCTACTCGGAGGCGTGGAACGACATAGAGGGTCAACAATGCCTTCCGGGAGTCCGTCAAGCACCGTTAAATGCTGATAAGACAGGTCCACGGGCTCCGAATTGCTTTCTAGGTCAACGAAATCTGCAAGAGACGGAAGAAGCTGAAACAGCGGCTCCGAGAAGGATTCCACTATCTGCTCGACCTCGGCCGGTGTTAGGACCCCGCGGAGAAAAAGACGGACGGAGCGTTGAAATGTACAGATAAAATGATATTCGAGTCTCGGAGATTGCGCCGAGACGTCGCCCACGGAGATCAGGAGGGAACGAGATCAAGAATTTTTGATGGATTCCACCGATCGTGTTCGTTCCCACGTCCACGAGATCGATTCCGCGTCACGGAACACGTCGGAGAGCTCCACCGGAGAATCGGAACGTATTTCAGTCTACAGCGGGCAATCTATATCGCAGGCCGAGCGAGAATTCCCAACCCGAATCAGACTAATGTTTTTGCTCTCCGTAAGACGTGTCGGGGAACTGTCACCGACCGCAAAGAATGGAGACTCTTTTTCTCGGTAGACTTCGTCAAGGCCTTGTCCTCCCTCTCGGTCCGACTGGTTCTGATGAATGACCTTGTTCTGTTCTAGGTAAAGAATAAGTCGGAAGCGGGTACGTACAGCAGTTACCTTGTAGGGGCCTCGTGGCCCCTACCGAACCTAATGGCATTGAAGGCATCGGAATCACATCTGGGCTGGTCTTCTCCAGATCGTCGTCCGTTGAGCTTGCTGGGCCGCCATTGACCAACGTCAACGGTTTCTCTGGAGACCCGAGCGAGATGTCCTTTTCACCGTACGCCGACGCGTGGTTCTCTGAAAACGAGAGGCATTTTTCTTTGGGGAGGAGGGAAATCGAATCGAGACCGAATCGATCGAGATCGAATCTGCCACCGATCCCTCGGCATATCGGGGAGCTCCTGGATTTCGACGATTATCCGGAATGGGTGTCATTGCCCTGTACCATTGTCTCGATACATAATAATCAGACGTACAGCGGACCTAATCATGACTGACTCTCGGTCGTCGTCGAATTGTAGGATCTCAAGATTTAAGCGGGAAAGGTGCTCTATACCAGGTGTATGCGTATGAAATGAGACAAATGAGACAAAGACGAAAAATCAGCGTTTCCCGCAAATGAGCATTTTTCGGGTCAAAATCGGACATTATCATGAGTCGGAAATTTTTCAGACAACGATGCGCGAATCAACTGCCTATCGGATATTCTGGCCCGATGATTGGTTCAAGAGATAGGGTATAAGAACTGTCTCCGCGTTCGCCGCGGCGGCGGCAGCCCGGGCTTTTCAAATTGTCTCATTTCATATGCATAGATAGACCTTAGCATACTCCGGCTCCATGCCAACACCCAGCGCATTTCCACGATTCATTCGAGTCAGACTCGTTTTAGAAAGCGTTGAATCGGATGATAGACTCGGTATTAATTCGGGAAAGCAATCACGGAATCTCGGGGGACAATATTCGGATAAGAGCATTGACTCACGCTTGTCTCGCTTGGGGTTGACGCGGCACCTGTACACGCCGACGAGTATGCCAGCCGCGATGAATAGCGTGATGACGACTCCGATCGCAACGCCGACCATCGGTCGAAACGCCATCATCGCTGAAACATCGGCTGGAAAATGAGCGTAGAAGAAGTTGAAGTTAGAGTTATTTTCCCCAATGGTAGAGTTATTTCGCCCAGAATCAGTTCAGTCAGTCGGCCAGCCAGCCAGCCAGCCGGCCCGTACGTCCCGCCAGTCAGACACAACGATGCGCAGGCTTCGTATTCCGCTACGTGCATGCATATGTGAACGCGGGAAGGAAAGGCAGCGAAGCCAACACGACGCCAACTTTGCGCTGAAATTCAATCCTGAGTAGGACCGTCAGAATCGACGTAAGGGCTAATGCACTGAGGCAATGAGCGAGCAGCGTGAACTCGTTCCTTCCTTCACCGCCATACACGTGAACCGAAATCTCCCGGCGGATTCAGGACTGTCAAGGTCGCTGGCTGACCCGCTCGCTCAATTCTTTGAAGCTTACCGGTATATCTCTCAGCTGGACGGGGTGTTTGAGCCATGAGGACAAAGGGTGGGCTAGGTCCTTTCGCATTATTGGCGTAGATCACCACTCGAAAGCTTTGGCCATCGGCCACCTGCCGGATGACGAACACAGGAACACCTGCGGTGGAGCATCGATTGATAAATAAGTTCCCGATCCTCGATGTGCGGCACTACAACGATTGAGAGAGGGAGGCGGACATTCGCTCCGACTGTCGATTCTCAGGCCTGTTGCGGAGAATCACAGCTTCGGAGCTGCGAGAACACGACGACTCGGAAGGAAATATCTTGTTGGAGTCATCCGGGCTCTGGAGGGGATATCCGATACGAATACCCCCCGTTTCCCTCTGTTCCGTTCCATTCGTGAAGCAGCTGTATGAGAGGAATTTTTGCCTTTCTGATTTTGATGAAATGTCCATGAGGAAGGGGGTGTATCGTGATTGAGCTTTTCCCGACGGTCGAGGTCTCACTGCTCACTCAGATGATATTCCCTCGAGGGAGAGAATCCTCTTCCGGGGAAACATACCCGGTTGGCTAGGGCATTGGGGAGAGCCTAGCCAACGCCAACCTCACGGCTTTGCATGCTCGTGGACCGATGACAACGTTCCCGATCCCACCGGTTCGGGAGACGATATCGACTATTCTCGGGTTCCGAAATTCATTCGGGAAAAGGTTGTCGTGATTTAGATCGTCACTTGGAAACATACATACGCATGTAACAATTCGAACATTGGCAACCGTTCCGGTAATGAGATGTATCCCCGGTGGGTTCACATCCAGGTGTGTAATCGAATAATTCGCAATCAAGAGAGGATTAAAGAATGCGCCAAGAGAACACTTAATGCGATTACTTCCATTTCACATGGAGCAGTGACGCCAGGTCATTGTCCCTTTCACCACTTACCGGAATGTGGGATTGCCCATGATCCGGTTAGCACGGTAATGCTCGACAAGCGAAACGAAAAGTTAGCCGCATTAGCGCCAGCGAGGAAATTCGCTTCCTCGAGACTTTTCAAGCAAAAGTGTGCACGAATCTGCTTCCGCGGTCGATTTCTCCTCTTCCGTGCCTGAATGAGACTCCGGAGTATCCGAACCACTATTCGAGAAAGACGTCACCATCCGGGGAGACCGAGCGCCGCACTCGCGTCGGAATTCTAAATCCCACGGAAAATTAAGAAGTTTTCCGGGTAGCGTTACCCCGCCACGCCCACAAATGAAGATTCGATTCCCAGGAATTCGATGATCCTCTCAAGGTCGGTCCTAAGATCAGGAGCTCCCGGAGCTCGAACTTCAGCTCGATATATCGTGACCGATCATTTTAAGTTTCTTCGACAGTTGAGAGCTTGATAATGAGGAAGCGGACGAGAAGGAGTCTGTTCGGGAAATACACAGCTACTGTATTTTCCTTGAGCAGAGGGGGCGATGGAGGAATGGACAGTCCGGAGTAATCCCGGCTTTCCAATATAATCACACGTCACGGTCGAATAATGACCGTTGACAGCACGAAGTGAGAATAGAACGCCGACGACCGAAAGACCTGACCTCTCCTGACATACAGCAACGCCTCACAGACCGTCGAGCAGACGAACAAGCGACCAGCCGGGCACACAGACCCTTGTCCGACGGACCTCTGATTCCGCGGAGACCTTGAGCCTTCCCCATCAACAGGCTGTTCCTACCAATCGGTGGAATCAGATAGGAACGGCTAGAAGCCCCCGAACGAGCGAGGGATGGGACCTTATTCGGACTCGACTATCTAGGCATTGAAAATCGCCGTGATTCTCTGATTTATTTGATCGGCGTTACCACGAATGCTGCCGATTCCTTGTCTGTAGAGCTCTCTCAGCCTACGCGTCCGTTCCGGGATTTCCTGATTTTAATGGAGCGAGACGACTGCTCAGCGCGTGAATCCTCCTTCCGTCCGATAAGGACGATTATTTATGACGTTTCCCGCTTTGTCTCCTAATTGAGGAATATCGATAGCCTTGGAGAGCGGAATCGATTCTCGGAACGAGCAGAATCTCATCATCAAGGTCCGTGGAGGGGGTTGGGGATTGGAAGAGCGGATATTAGCTTATCAATCATATTTCGATATTCGCTCTCACCTAGCGTGGAGATGTTCACCACCGGCGTTTTACTATTGCTTTCGGCTTCGTAGACTTCGGCAATGAACACGGGGTTACTGAGACCGCCGTCCCACTTTCCGGGTGCGCATTCGATCGTCATGCCATCTTCCGTGGCATTTATCTGGCTGCAGTTGTGCACGGCGTCGGGTGGCCCTGCAATTGAGGACACCGCATGAAACATCATGGCTCGATGTTGGCACCCGGCGACAGGGAGGGCCAAATACGAATTTTCTATGGAGAACAAGCAAACGGGAGCTTCCCTGACGCGGGGAACACTCGACGAGGCGCATTCTCCCCCACACCTCAGAGAATTCGGAAAGCAATTCGTCATCGGAAGATGGCTTAATCGCCGACAGGACGAGAGAGAAAATAAATAGAATAGTAGACGTGAGATGAACGTACGCCTAAAAAGGTTCGGGGAGCCCGAACGCACGCCACCGATAACCGATCAATGGATTGAGTGCTGTGCACGCTCATATTTCTCAGCAGGTGCTTGATTAACGAGCAGGGTTGGTTATTATAGGAGAACGGAAACGACGCGCACGGCATCGGGAGACGAGTGCCCACGCGCTCTGCACATCAGAAGCTCTGCCACACAGAGCCGTGCGAAGACCGTCAAACGAGCAGAGACGACCACGTTGAGGACTACAAACCTGCGGTAATCAGCGAAAAAACGCATGGCTCACGCTGCACCCCGACGGAGTTCTGCGCCCAGCAGAGCAGAGAACCGAAATCCTCATCCAGGAGAGCTTTGTACAACAGGGTGCTCCGACCTCCGCTTGTGCTAAAGCCTGCAATTAAGAGTTGCATCGATGAGAATAGCTCCGGAGCTCCTCCATATATTCATCTGATACGCTAAAGGATAGTTTGGGGATACGGAGCCCCAATCGACAACTTCTCCTGTCGTTTTCTTTCCTATTAGCGACTACCCACGCCTGAATCCGACTCTGTTCGTTGAATTATTCGTCTCCTGTGATTTCGAAGATATCGGATCTCTTGTTCCGAGAGATGCTCACAAGATAAAAACACCATATAAAGCATCTCATTTCGACTTCCAGGCGACGTGGTCAACTCACCGTCGGAAATTTCTTTCACAGCGCCTGAAGTGCTATTCTGCGCCCAACGAAAAGTTACTCCGTCCAGTGGCTCTGATTCTACGAAGCAATTGACCGCCACCGAGTCCTGACCCGTGACGCCGTACGTGAAACGCTGTTTTGCTGTGCACACCGGCGCAACTGCAAACAAATCAAAGACGAAGAATTCAGAGTGCGTTTTTATTATCATCGCTGCAGCCACGGCTACCGCCTTGAGCATCATCAACATCATAAATTCAACAGCGGCAACGTCTGCAGACGGACGAGGAAGAAAGGGGATTGCTCCGCCTTGGGCGAAAGAATCTACATGCTTTTTGTATTGAGAACGGCTTGCCCAAGGTTTGTGCCCGAACGAGAGCGGAACCTAGCAATCCGCGAAACGCAAGGGAACAGGGGCTGTGGATAGGGTCAGGTAGGGGGGGGGTGAGGGGGAAAGCTCGGCAGCGAATCTCTCTCGCGACTCGAAGCGCTGCGCAACTCACACTTAATGTTGAGCATATATTCATTGGAGACGCCCTTGCCCTCTTTATTCTTAGCAAAACAGCTATAAACTCCTCTGTCTTGAACCGCGACGCGCTGAATGACCAGAGACTGGCCTGATATGATGACACCCGCGGTCTCGTTCGCGACCACCTCTCGACCTGCAAATGACGTGGCTCATAATGGGAAATATTCATGAACCTATGAATACAGCTCTATATACGTGTCTTTATCGGCAGAAAGCCCGTCTGGCATGCCATTCCATTGTCCGACAAGAGCATGAAATACGGTCTGCGTGTTCCTCTGTCTGGATATAATTGTTTTCCGCGCGAACACTGCCATTCCTCATATATTCGCAGGATATATGTACGTGTTGCTGTCTGCCGTGAAGCCGTACCTTGGAACAGCCAGCCGATATGCGAACTCGACGGATTCGATACCACTTTGCAATCGAGGATCACCTCCTTCCCTTCGATGATTTCTCCCTCTTTATGGCTGGCTGCCAGCGAAAGTGTTGCTCGAGGTGGATCTTGAAAGGAAAGAGCGATGTTAAAAAATTCCGAATGGACCCTCCTTGAGCCGCCTGGATCTGTGCTTCTAAGTTTCTTCGATCTATCCACGGGATCGTGGAGCCCCAAGACTAAGTTTCGCCGCCACATCTTCAAGCGTCGAATCTCATTCCAACGGCAATGAGCTTCTGAATATCCGGAGGAATCGATGGCTCCACGGCGGGAATCTGTTCTGTCGCAAAGGGGACCGGATATCCGCAACGCTCGATTTTTCTCCTCGTCGCCGAGAGGCTGCTTCCAGGCGGGTGAAATCAGGCTTAGCAGAAGCAACTCGTGGAGTACCGCCAACCACTACGGAGAACGCGGGAGGCACACGAAGGACTGCAAGTAAAAGGAAGCTTTTCGCCGTTCGGTAATCCATCTCCTCGCGGCCCAGACCTCGAGAGTACATTACATGGGTTCGCACGGCTCACTGCAACGTTCGCCGCAGGGAGAGAAGCAGGTGAGAGTCTTCTGTCTTAAGCGAGGCGGACATAGCAACCGTCTCGCTGGACCGTCGGACGGACGGGCGAACGGTCGGCTGGCTGACTGACTGGCCGACTGACTGACCGACTGACTGACTGACTGACCGACTGACTGACCGACTAACTGACTGACTTAGCGAATGGTTCTTGTATGAGCGGTAGTTCCCCAGATCCCTCCAGGAGCACTTACAGTGAACGTCGAGCTTCCACGCCTGTTCTAAGGCACTCCCAGGGATGATCTTGTTCTCGGCGCGGCACGAAATGATTCGGCCATGGTCATCGACGGTTGGCGTGATAGTGAGAACGCTTTGAGCGTCGGCTTTACCGCTGCTCTTCTCCACGACGTTTTTACTGAAATTCAGAATGGAGCCTCTTCTCAGAAAGAATCTCCGGATCCGACCGCGGGAAATGGGGGCGATCCGCCGTCGATGCCTCACTTCACAAGCGATAAACATACAGAGAGGGGCCAGCAACATGAATGCGCCTGTGGCAATGACGGAGAGATGGGGCTCTCAGAAAACGGATAGCGGTCCCTGAGCACGTAGGGCCACAAGGCGGAGGAGCATAAGCGCAAGAAGGAGCAAGGAATCTGATTTACGGCAACGATCGAAGGACGATTGGGGGGGGGGGATAGGGCCAAGGCATGGGGTCGCTGCCGCAGAGGACATCATAGGGGAATATTGCGGAGAATAGAACGAGATTTAATTAATTTGATCCTCAGATTTTCCGCCCCACGAAAAGTGCAAAACTCGCTCCTCGTGGAGGACACTCTAATCGAATGAGCGGAGACATCCGGAATGGGATCCGTGGAATAAAAAAGAAAGAGGATGAGATCTCGAAGCTCAAAGAGCAGGAGTACCCAGCAGATCCGGTGGGGTCGAGGGGCTACTCGAAGGCATGAGGGAGCGGGGAATCTCGGAGAGCATAACCTTGTACAGGAACAGAGGGATCAGGACGAGGGAACTGGGGAATTCAACGAGGACTATCGGACGAGTTGAAGGAGGATAGACATCTGGAGGACGTCCACACTTCAAAGGTCTCAAGGGGAAAAACTCGGGCACTTGTTTTCGAGTCGATGATTGAAACTCTTAGTATAAGGAAACGCAAACAGCTTGGAGCGAAGGCTGTGAAAATATGTTCCACCGACAAAGGAACTAGGCGCTGACCGGACTAGCTCGGTAAGCGCGGAAAATACCCGGGTGCGTGGAAGAGCCCGGGTCAGAAAACTCGGAGTGAAATGTTCGCAACAACAGCGGACGGCCGAGCGGATATCGCCGCAGCCCTGACGCGGGCGATCCCGAGTGAGGGGAGGGGGGGAAACAAAGCAAAAAGCCGAAACAGAGGGAACGAGATGAAGGGACGCAGGAAAAAGCTTGGGAATCACATCTGCTCGCTTGATTGATGACTTTTGGAGCTTCCTTCTCAGCATCACGCTTCTCTGGCGACGTCCGCTAGAACGCGTACCTGACTTGCTGGTTTCCACGCCACCAGGACAGTGTGGCTGGAGGCCTCGAGCCGCTCGAAGTGCATGTGAGTTCAATCGGCCTGTTGGCGGACACCGGCCGTTCGGCTGGCTGAATGGTGACATCTTGCGGCTTCACTGAAAGTTCGTCAAGAAGACACTGAGCTCGGCTGCCATCGGGCGTGATCGATGCGTTCTTTCTGCTTCCCCTCGACCGCGGCTCCGGGAAGGGTACCAGTTCGATATACCGATTCCCCGACCTCCAATTCGACCTGTTGCAAGGGTCTCCGTTCCTTCGCGTTCGCCGTCGCAGGAAAACGAGCCGGAGGGCTCCTGACGTCGGCCGAGGGCTCGCCCTTGATTAATGTTTGTTTATACAGAGCTTTGCGCGAGGTCAGATATGTGTACTGGGGAAGTACTTACGGTTCAGATCGATGGTGATGCTAGTCGAAGCTGCTACGGTTACATTGTTGTTTGTGGCTTTGCAAACAACAGCGGTGTCGGCGTCGCTACGTGTCAGAGCCGGGATATCCAATACGTTCTTAACGACGCCTTCTTCTTGGCTGAAGGCGTACGAGCCGTCGATCATGCGGAAATCTTTCCACCACGTTACGGCCGGTCGCGGCTTCCCTGAATAGAGCATTCCGTCATGAACAAATAATTCTCTCTAGTGAACATGAAATCTTCCTCTCATCATTCTCCTGTGGCTCCGGCGCATGGCGGAGGAATTCGCGATGAATGGGATCGGCACGAATTCGATCCGTTCTCCAACAGGGAGTGCTCTCATCGAGACAATTGAGCACTTGAGCTCCGGTCGAACGCGCTGGAGGAGATAACGATCAAAGCGGAAGAGTTTTCTCCGAAGTGACAGCGCTCGGGTTGACATTGAGCAGTTCTGTTCTCTTGATCGAGCCCGCGCGCGAGGGCAGCCATCGGAGAGGTTGTGCGGCGACGGAAGCCGTAGCAGCGGCAAACGGAATACTTACCGTGCTCCGCTTGGCAGGTGAGTTTAAGGGAATCTCCTTCATTGAAGGGTCCGATTGCTCCCTGGAGTCGCTTCCCACTCTCGTCCAGGATCACCGGTTCCCCAGACGGCACTGTAACGAAAGGGCTGGCTTAAATGGCAGCCGGGAATTCGTCCAAAGCATAGGAACAAATGTTTCCAGACCTAATTCCAATCAATCCCGAGCACTCGTTTCGCTCCGAGATCTTCGGGGGCCCGGACGGCGAGGCCGTCGATGAACAATGTTTTCGGAATTCCCGCAGGTGGCGAGGAGCGATTCAAGAAATTCAATAGGAAGCTACCAGCTCCCGATTTCCCAGAGAATTCACGTGGAATCGATGGGGCTTCCACGGAACAATCTGTGCGCCGAGAATCAGGTCTGATAGCGTCCGAACGCTTCGCGATAAGAGCTCGAAATCGAGGCTTCGGCACGTCTCTTCCGCATGTATTTGGACTCCCGGTGGGTTTACGCTGCTCTTCCTGGTGTATTTTCGCGGAAAGTGCGCTCTATTTCGAACGCTGTGTGATCCAGACATCGGGCTTCCAGAATTGTCCAACACTTCGTAAGGAACTATTTCGAAACCTCACTCAGTCAGTCGATCGTCACGCTGATTACTGCGCTCCACGTGTGTCTCCGTCGCTGAGGAGTTTATGGATGTGGATGATGGTTTCGAGCCGCCCACCTCCCAGTGACGCGACGGCAGACGGGCCGGGTGGAGACAGGACAGCAGAATGAGCGGCCGAAGGAGACAAAGCTCACTGTTCACAGCGAGTGTTCCACAGTCGCTACGCGCTAGTACTCACAGGATGCGAGCGAGCTGCGGATCAAAATCGTTGGCTGAAACCCAGCGATGGGAGGGAAACTTCGACGGGACGTCTTCGGGTAATGACATGGAAGAATATCAAAAACAGAGCGAGAGCCGCGAGCGGGCATCGACAACGACGGCCATGGCGTCGACGACAACGAATAATTCGTCGAATGGAGGTCGAGCGGAAGAATGCAACGGATGTTTCGTCAGGAAATGGGGGCATTTAGCTCCGTACGAACGGAAGACGTCCGAGACAGAGGCAAACGAAGCGTCGTCGACGGCCTTGACGTCAACTTCAGGCAATATGGCAGCATCGAGCAACGGAAGGCGGAATATCGGAATGTCCACCAGGAAAGAATGTGGCCGAGGTAGACTGGGCCGAAAGACAACATCTGCGACTGCGAAACAACACAGTGGGCGAAGTGAGCGGCGAGCGAGCGGCGAGCGAGCGGCAGAAGTCAAATGAACCCGCTGACTCAGTCTGCTTGTGGTGTGCACTCGGCTTGTAATTGTTCCGAGTAGAGGTAAACTACCCACGGGAGACATCAGTACTGTTATACGGTCAGAACAAGCGGCAACGAAAACACAAGTCATTGCGGCAGGAAGCCGAGACGACCGACCTACCGCGAATGTCTCCCTTCTCACTAGAAAACTTCGGGAAGCGGACGCGACGTCCATGGAGTTTCTGCCGCGAGAAGTTCATCGGATCGTTTCTAATCGGGACAATTGATACCGTATTCATGACTTGGGAATTTATTCAGCAAAAATGTCTGCATTGTTTTTGTCTCACGGCCGCGAGAAACTCTCCCGACCGCTACATTCAATAAAAATCATTCAGCATCGGGAGAGTAGGCGGGCTCGGGCGGGGCGCGAGCTTCTGGACACAGCCTGCGACTAGACGACGAGGGGCTTGACCGATGCGCATACGGATGAACGCGGAGCCGGGAAACTAAGCGAGGAGTCAGTCGGTGGCTTTCTTGCTCCTTTGGCAGCATGTATAAATCATAAGAGAGACTTGTGTTGAGCAACCGTTGAAGCTGAGAGCGAGACAACGGAGAGAAGTGGAGATACAATAAAATTTATGAAGCCACTTCCCCTTTCGTAATTCTTCCTTTTTCACAAACTTTCCCCCAGACCGGCTGCATTCCCGTTTTTTGCTCGCTTTCTCAGCTGCCAGCTTCTTTTGAATTCCTTTGTCACGGGAATCAAGGTTTTTGCTGTCGAAAAACACCCGTCCGAGAGAGCCATCGTTTGTCTTCATTCGTTTTGCTTTTCGCCGAGTGACATGCTCGCGAGGTCATCTGACTCCGGTTCCTATTTCGCGTTGGTGTTCCTTTGGGTGGTGGGTTTCCGGAGGGTTTGCGTTTTCGGTCGCGAGCCGCTTCTGCGCTAGCGGGAATCTTGCCTTCATCGCGGTATCCGGAGCAACAGAGCGGGTCCAGGAGCGAATAGTGTCGCTTTCGTTTATGATCGTATATCACGGAACGCCTGAAGCGGTAGCGAGCACTTGTGACTATCCGAGAGGGTTCCGAGCACGCGACTGTAACTCTGTTCTAAAATCAGGATCGTTCGCGTGGCGTTAAACTCGGCCATTTTAGCGGCAATTTGCAAACTCGTGACGCTCCTCGTCCGGGCTTCACGATCGTTTGTTTGTTTGCTTGTGTGTATGCGCTCTCTCTGTGCTTCGAAAAATTGTTCCACGCGCCCACCCTGCCGCCAGTGTGACTGCTCCCACTGAAGACGGAAACGTAGAGAGGAAGACGTTTAATAAATCAGCCACCCTGCGAGAAGAAGGAGCCCACAGGGCCGCTCGACGAATCTTTCTCTCTTAGTGGAGGCGATGAACAATTTTTCCACTCCTTCTAACGAAACCAAGAACAGCGTCATGAGGTGAAGGAAGCCTCCTCTCCGGCCAAGAGGACGCCATGAGCGACCATGAGTCACAAATCCCGGTCTTGCCGTCTTTTCATCTCTTTTCGCCAGGGCCCTCCCTCGCCCCTATCTCGACCTGATCCCGCGGAAACGGCGTGTGTTCTCACCGCGATAGTGGTTCGGCAGGCCAGTTGAAGGGCTTCTGGTCATATCTGAGCCGGGTAGCTTCGTTGCCCGGGAAAAGAATCTCGCTGTCAACAAATCGTGCCCATCGCGGGATTCCCTCCAATTGAGATTTCAACGCCTCGATGTCGGCGCTGATTGATCCTAATTCGTTTCTGTGCGTCGCCATCAGCGGATAATGCAGCATTTAGCCAGAGAGAGATAAACCTCGGGAAGAACGATCGCTTCAGGGCCGGGAAAGGAACGATCTATGAGAACCAATGAGACACGCGCCTAACGCGACTGAACAATTCGATCTGGATCAGGACCTTACAAGAGTCGAGCTCGACCTTCGACTGGCTACAGCGGTGTTGTGCGAAGCCATCGACACGGAATGAACGCCGCCGAGGAGAAACGAAGACTGAACGACCCCAATCGGTGGCTTACAAATGGAATAGATTCGCTCTTTCGGGAGTCCCAGGACTCCCGGGACTCGACCCCTAGGAAACCTACCGCAGAGGTCTAGCGAACAATTAATGGAGAGAGAAACGTATCTAGCTGGATCTGAACCTGCGGCTCGACTCTGCTCGATAAACTCGTCGCAGCCGATAGGGCCGCCGCGTTCCAAGTCGAGAATTCTTTCGTCGCTCACGCTGTCTATCGAGCTCCACTGCCCGAATATTTTCTCGTTTCTCTCCCCCTCTGAAGCTGTTTTTCGTTCCCCATAAATTCCAACGGCATTCCTCGCATGGTCTCTTGGAGCCCGGGAGGAAGAAGGAGACAAAAAAAAATGGTGACAGCACGCCTCGAATAGGGATGTGCCAATTGACTGAGAGTAGAGGTGTCGCCAAGATCGATAGGCACAGCGTCTAGGACCGGAGAAACTACCGAGGGGATAGCGTCGGACCAACGAGATGTAGAGCAAGATGCTTTTCAACATTCTCCTCGGACGCTTCAGACTCACATTCTGCACTCAGGAATATCGATCTACATGCTACTCTTGACGCGACCTAGGGTCCGCACCCGTCGCAGGACATATATTTTGTGGAGATCGGGAATCGTTTCTCGCTGAGAGCAAGATTCCAGGAAGGTCGACTCTAAGGGAACTCGAGCTTTCACTTCTATAGCGACAGGAAGGAAAACACTGAACGACAACTCACCAACCACACGGAGGCTAATGACCGTGTTTATTGAACGGCTCCGTTTGAAGTCGACTCTGCATCTGTATTCGCCAGCGTCGCCTTCCTGCACAGGATCCACTTGGAGGAAAGCTGGCTTGTTGGCCATGTTGAAATAGGCCCTGCTACCGAGCTCGCTCTGTGTTGTACGGTCCACGTGACGAGATCGGTCGAGATCTCCTCGTCGCGCATCCAAGGTGAAAATAGGCGCGGGGCTATCGTCCTTGTACCAGAGCACCAGAACGACTTCATCTCCGGCAGCTGGGGGTTCGATGTTGCAGGGCAGGGCCACTTTGCCTTTGACCACGGCCGAGTAGACGATCGAGGCTGTAATAGAGAGAGAAAAGCACGGATTAGCTCGTCTGACGTTGGCCTAATGCCGTGATTGGCTCGTTCACCTACTGCTGTTGTAAGCTACCGGCCCGCGCGTAACACAAGACGAACAAGTGGGAATTCATTATCCGTCACAACCACCGGTAAGCTTCGATTCTGGTCCTAGGAGGAGGCGGAGTTTCGCGTCGACACTGACCGCCACTCCCGTCGTCATTGTTGCGAGTCTCGATGCATCATTATATCCCAAATACCGCTCCGAACAGGCCGAACGTTCGCTAGGGTCGATCATCCCCAGCCTTCCTAATGCTGAGGTTTCACAAAACATATTGCGTCGGGAGTTTATCAGAGAGCGCGTTGTCTCCCAGAAGGCTCCGGAGCTCACGAAGAAGCAGGCAGGCAGGAAGGGTTCACGAAGGACTAGCTGAGACATAAGAGAGGAATTCTAGAACCCTAAGTTGCAAAGTTTTGATTGGATGTGATATCACGTAAGCATGGTTTCGCGCTCCAACACGATGCTCGTGAGCCCTGGAAGAGTCCCGTCGACTTCGGGGAAACCCAGGCAGAGTCGAAGGGAAGAGTCAAGGATATAGGCTCTCGTCGGCGTCTCTTCCGTTTACACCTGATCGATCCGGTTGTCCCCGTCACTCATGAATTACCGCCGAGACACCTCCGTGAGCCAACGGATTTCCCGGCGGAGAATGTTTCCCCTCCAGAATCCTTCCCTGCGGGGGGAAGGGGATCCTATCAACGATCGGAGCAATTCCGATGCTTCCTCCAGGTTTCGCGCTCCTTGTGATTGCTAGCAATCGCTTTTTACTCGAGTATGAGAGGGACACAACGTTGATCGGTCCTGAGCCACAGGGAGCCGTGACGCCGGATGCGCTTAAGGCTTCCCTCATAAAAACGGCAGTATGCTCAGGCTTTCGGCATGCTCTCTGCTCTATTTGCGCCTGCTCGTCTGTCGTTCAGCTTCCCTCCTCTGCTCGCTCCTAGCCGATATTATCTTATATCGCTACCTATGAAGCGCGCCCGCCGTCCACAAAAAGGCGACGAACGCCGCTGCTTTCACTACCGCCGACCATGGCAGCGGAGGCGGCGGCGGATTTCTGGCGGGTCTAGTGCTCGGCCGATTCGAGTGCCCACCGATAAAAACAAAACCGGTGAACATAGCGACAGAGTCTTCCTGGGAAAATCAGCGGAATCACCGCGAAATTCCGGCGAGCTCGACGACCCTAATCGCAGGCTTCTCAGGAACAAACTGCTCTCTTCGACTTCAGCGTATCCCGGATAGAGTAGTTCTCGCGATATGAATAGACGAGATCGCGCAATTGAAAGCCCTACCGTCAGGTGATATCGGCCACCGGGGTGAGAGTGAATAGAATAATCTTCCGCTCTCTCCCCGTCGATTCCTGTATTCAATGTCATCGCCGTGTCTTAGCGTCTTAAATTCCGTCCCTCCAAGCAGCGTGTTCAGGACAAAAGACCCGATCTTCGCGGTCCTCCCAGAATTCGGGTCTCGGAACGAGGCGAGCCTTGTGCTCAGAGCCCTCATTTGCTTTATCTCTCAGCCCCCAATCTGGCCGGCTAGTCAGCCAGACGTAGGGCTGCTCTTCCATGGGGCTCTGAGTTGGATGGACGCCGCCATAGTAATTTTAATGAGTAAGGAGCTCTCCAATTAGTGAGGGGTCGGTCCTCCGTCCGCTCAGTCAGTCTCCCGCGCGCGTTCTCTACCTGCGTGTCTTTTTCCTCTAGAGAACGTGCGTTCGATCGCCGGTGTTGACCCTCTTCCCGGTCATTGTTTGAAGCGTGGCTCCGCTGTACGAGCATCCGTACCGCGTGCCCCTCACCGACGATCACACGTACCGAGGGGGTTCCGTGGAGCTACTTGCGTTCGAATGCACAGGAATGGGAATCAGAAACTCAACGTACGCGCACACTTGCAACGGTGGACACGGTCGACTGGGTGGCGGGCAGACAAACTCTCGGGACCATCCCCTTCAAATCGTCCAAAAGGCAAAACCCGTTTCTCCTCCGAGCCAAAGTGCATCGAATGACAGCTCAGACCGGCGGGACGTTGCCGGAGGCATCCCAAGTCGCTGGCCCTGACCCCCGCCTCGCCGTCCGCTGTCGATCCTCAAAGGAGACGAGAGGCTGCTGCCGTCGTTGTCGTCGTTGTTCTCTTTTTCGTCTTTTCCCTGCGCTCTCCACAATTCTGGCCTGGAGGCTCTCCAGCGTCACGCTGCTGCTCTGGTCCCCGGGCAGCGTTATGCTTCTTGGCTTACGGCGAGGAGCCGATCATTGTGTGGAACGTTGCTCAAACTAGCGTATAAACTCCAACTCAAAATGTTGTGTCGCGTTCCTCCTCGAGAGAATGGTAATTCCTTGTATATCCGGAAAATCCTCGAGGGATGGCGCAGAGGGGAACGGGATAAAGCTATTGTTGCGCTCCATCCGAGTGGAGCCTGGAGCGAGTCTTTGCGCGCTTCAGCCACAAGAGAACTCCCTATATTTGGCTTCTTCCCCGCCGTCGCGGCGGGCGAACTGACTAAGCCGAGGAAGGCTCCGCTGTCGTGTGGCTAATTGCGGGGTCGATTACCACATAAATTCATCGAACGATGAGTTTCCAGAGCCGTTTTGGAACTTTTCCCTTGGAATCTCTGAGCAGAATGCTTTTCCCGACGTGGCGTATCAGCGACTCGCGACCGAAACTGGATGTCCGGGTCCGCTCGCGCGAAACTCGCTACACCCCGCTCAATGCGGGTTCGCCCCGGCCAAGTGGGCGGCTAACTGGTTGGTTGGCTGTCTGCGTGCATGCTGCCGCTAGCGCGTCCTTTCCGTAGCATCGAATGGAGTAATTTTGGCTATTACAGTCTTCTTCACTGTACGCTTGTTAGCAGTCATTACTTCCGCTTGGCGCTAAACTAAGCTCATTCCACAGAGAGTGTAGAAAGGAGCACATCTCCTGGTGGCGTGTAATTTGAAAAGGGCGCAGAGGCTCCAATTAAAGGATAACAACTTTGAAGCTCCACTGAGCTAGTCGCCACCCAGCCGCCCGGTTGGCCGGTCGGCCGAGAGAACGAGCGACCGACCGACCGACCGACCAGCCAGCCCACCGGCCCTACGAACGACCAGCCTGAATGAGCGTAGTGGCAGAAGAGCAGAGGCTTGGAGTGAAGCGCACCCGGCGAAAGACGAGGACGATCTTCTTCGACGCGTCGGCGAATGAACAACAAGATTGCCCAATTCGAAGGTCATCATTAGCCAAGCTGATGGTGTATTTAGAACACATTCTAAACAATGCGCCCTTGTACCATTTGCTGAGTCGGCCGCTATCGACGGTCTGGGGGCTTCGTCCTGCCCGTACATGTATATACCCAGTACCGCCGAGCAAATGATGATGCTCGACGGCACCATATGTATAGGTACCGTTCTTTTCGACGGCCGTACCGCATTTCGAGGCTGGGCGCTCGCGATGAATCATGATGAGATTGTGGAACGGATATCGCGCGCCTTTCCGTACCGTCTTCATCGAGCAAGTTCATGATGTCTACCGAAGAGTGTAAATCGGGAAAATTCGCGATCCTTTTGCTTCACCGGAGATAAGAGATCGTCGCTTTCCGCGGAAACGATCGGGGCTTGGTGTGTGCGGTTTTTACGGTAGCGGAGAGCAGAGGAAAAATCTTCCGTGACAATGGAGACACTACTCGTGCTGCGGACAGAAGCAAGGGGGATCTTAATTGGTTCCACGAAGATGTTAGGATGAGAGAGGGGGATAAGGCGACGACGGAGGGACCGGGAGCGAGTCGCACGCTCTCAAGTGCGAAAGCGAGACACTCGCCGTGCAACAGACAGGGCGCGAAACCAGTTCTATGTATAGTGCCATTCTCGCAAGCCAATTAGACAATCCGAGTGCATGCTGTGGGCCACGTTCCAGCCGTCAATCTGGTCTACTAATGCCGGAATCGAAGGAGTGCGGGACATTGTCTATGCACGACAACGTTCGGCGGATTCGACTGCAGGTGGAGATGCGGATCTCGATTCAATCAATTTCCGATGTAGCACGCGGGAAACTCCGTCGGAATTCATTGATTCGTTCGACGGGAGAAAGCTCTCCGAGCCAGTCGCAGGCCGGAACGTCACGTCACCGATTTTGACCACGGATGAGGAGAGACTACGCGACAGAGTCGTTGTGCTGCGAGTGGTAGAGTAGAAGCCAAGTGAGCCATTAGCCAGTCAGAGTCAGCGAAGCCTGAGTCGGTCGGTCCGCCGGCCACCGCCGCGTGAGGAGCTGATGAAAACAAATGGGCTCGAAGCTCGGGTCCGAAGTGACATCGAACTGAGCGATGAACTCTCGCTGATCCACCTCAGCCGTTTCGGCCATTACCTCGGCTTTTCGCTCTCAATCGAGTGCTCCGACGGCCGTATCTTTTTTTACACCCTCGCCGGTGCGGGAACCATCGATCCACTTACCACACCTGATCCCGACTACTCAAATCCTTTACCGCTCGTTAGGATCTCGATGATCTCTCGCCTTGTCGGGTATGAACCATATGATCGTCGAAGAAAGTGTATTTGTCTTTGATCGTACCCCGGGGGATGATCTAGCCGATGTCGAATATTTACGGCTCTTCTGTCAATGCCTCGCTAGCTACGGCCTACGGCCCGCGAACCGGCACCAGACAGCGGGTTCGCGAGCTTTGTCATCAATCTCGTGGATAAAAGTTGACATTGAGTATGAAGATCTTTGTCGCTGCCATCGAAGTATTCCATCAATTCAGCCGCCAACCATTCCGTCGGGGCCTTCTCTAACATCTTCGCTGGCCGCGTACTTGATTTATTTTCATAAATCAAAGAGCTCGCTCGGCGCGGTGGGGAAGAATACAGCTCTAAGAGCTCGGGAGAGATACCTTCTCGGAACGGCAGAATGGTCGAAAAACTTCCTGAATACCTCGAAGGGTTGCGGATATCCCTCCAGAATGCTCTATTCGACTCGA